GACCATACAACAGTGTCATTGCACCAAAACAGGTAAAAAACAGATCATACGAGACCTACAGGTGTTTCATTCTCAGGTATAGGATCACACGATCCACAGAAAAGCGGTTTGAACCTAACAACCACTCTGGCAGCATTCAGCAGTCTTGATTCATATGATTTTTTCTTGGTACACGACCAAGAGAAGGAAGAAGGAAGTACAAAAAAAAAATTGCATCAGTCGTAGGTTATCTTTTTTCTGACCTCAGTCTGGAAAAACAGCAAGATGAAGAACAAAAAAAACACTTGTTCGATATGCTCTTAAACCCAGTAGCACTGCTCTGATACCATATTAGCAGAAAAATACAAAAAAATTAAGGAAGAAGAGAGGAGAGACTTGAGAGAGAGAAGAGAGAAGGGAGAAGAGAAGAGAAAGTGTTTGGGAGTCAAATCTGTTCTGGCGGCGCCAGAATATATTATATTATATAGGGCGACACTTAAAAGATGGGGAAAGGACTCTAATGCCCCTGCAGCACTTACAGTACATAAACAGAATAAAAAAATTAAGTTATTCTAAACAGAACAAGAAAAATAAACTGAATAAAATAACCAGAATAAACTAAGTTATTTCAACACTTGTAAAGGCATGCTTTGCATTCAATCACGATGTGTTAATGGTTTTTGCACATAAATTCTTCTTCTTACAATGTAATATATACCCAAATTCCTTGAACTCATGAGATTTAAGATGTGAAGAATCTCAAGGCAATGATTTTCCTTTCCCCTTGCTTTCCAAGAAGACATGTACCATATCATTTCTTCCAGAGTATCTTGTGTAAAGATCAGTTGGAAGGTGCCAGTAGAGAAGAAGCTCAAGTTCAATTTTGATGGGTGCAGTCTTGGGAATCTTGGAGTTCCAGGGATTGGGGAATGGGGTTGTAATCAGGGATCACAATGGATACATTCTTCTTAGCTTTTCTGGTCCCATTGGCTTTGAAAATTCTATAAGGGCTGAACTACATTCTTTGATTCAGGGCAAAATCTATGGTGCATGAACTGCACCATGATAAAATGACATGTCACAGTTGAAAAGTAGGTCATGTGGTGTCTTTAACATGATTGGTTGAAATCTTGATTTAACGTGTTGCAAATATTCATTAATATACTATAGTTGGACTCTTGATTCAGGGCCTAAAATTGATGATTATGAAAGGATTGGAGAACATGGAGGTAAAGGGAGATTGCCAAATAATAATTTGGTGGATGAGGAAACAAGATATGATTCCTTGGAAAGTCAGGATGGTGGTGAGACAGGCACACTCTTTGGACACCATATTTAATAGCTCATTCAACTGGGTGCCTAGAAGTGCAAATGAATTAGCAGACTCTGTAGCTAGGGCCAGACGGGAAGGGGTGACAAGGAATCAGGTTGAATAGGGATGTCCAGGGCTTGTGTTTTCCAGTTATTGTTGTAACCTCAACTCTGTGAAATAGGAGTTTGTATTATTCTATCTTGGAATCTGATTGCACCATCTTTAGCTTGCTTCTTACCTTTTGAGCAATGTGGTAGTTCTCTTTAATAAAATTCCTTTGTGTCTTCAGAATGAGACTTCAACTGAGGTTGGATAGATAAATAAACTATTATATTAGAGATCGGGGACATACTTGGTTCAACCATAAAAGTTGAGAATTCCACCAACACTAAAAACCATTCCTAGACTTGGCTTCTTGAGCCAATAAGTGAGCAGCTAAGTTCCTGTTTGGCAACGTTCCGTGAGAGTGTTTCTGCTATTTCTGGCATTCCTGCAGAACAAAAACATGTTTGGCAAAAATAAAACGAAAGAAGCGAGCCATTCCTGCGTGAAAACAGCACCCAAAGAATGCGTTCTTTGGGAGTGACAAATCGGCAGTCTCAAAGAACATGTTCTCTGGGAATGCGCAGTTCCCACAACGTCCCTCATTAATTACGAATACGTGTGCCACATTCTCACGTGAGAGTAGGGGCATTTTTGTCATTCCGCTCAAAATAATAAATTCTAAGCCATAATGTTCATTCATCATTCCTCCGACCTCATCTCTACCAATGCATAACCCAGGGAGGTGAATGCTGAGTCAAGGACAGTGAATGGCCAGAAACACATCTCCGACGACTTTTTTCCAACCAAAATCATTTACACAGGTATGGTTGTCTTCTTGCCATTTCTTTGTTGTAGACATGTGGACGCTCTGTTTTTTGGTCCTCTGATCTGTAGTTCTCCCAACCCTTGTTTTGAGAGATAGAGATAACGGTAACTAGCATAAAACACTAGTAGATTACTCTGCATTTCTCCCAACCTGTTTTGGTTGGAGTTAGGTCTTAAATCCTAAAACGTAATTATTTTCCTAAAATCAGAGAATCTAACACATTGCAAGCAAGGTGAAATAATGGATATACAGCCTGTCAGTCTCCACACACTCTTCTCTCAAACAAATAATCCAACAATGGCTTCCACCCCAGTTGTTTCCAACCCTTGTGCAAGTTCAACCCCCCAAACCCTGCAAATCTCCTCTAACCTGTCCACCAAACTATCCTCCACCAACTTCCTCTCTAAACCAACATGTACAAGTAGCAAAAGCAAACCCATTACTAATGGGGCAAGATAGGAACAATTTCTATTACAAAGTGATTAAGGAAGTTCAAGTGGTGCCACATTTTATTAGTGAATGGGGAGATATTACTATAACATTGAAGGATGGGACCAAGGTAGACCTCGGAAGTGTACCCAGGTTTAGGAAAATTGTCAATAATTGCCTTTTCATGGCTGATTAATCTGTGGTTTCGGAGGGAAAGGAAGCTCGGCTGAAAGGTTTTCTGATGGCCTTATTTGTTTAATTTGTTTTGCAAATTCAACCAAAGTCCCTTAAATGAGGTATGTAATAGTTTTCTTTTTGGAAAATTTAACAGAAACTCTGTAGATGGTAATTACAATTACAAGGAAATTTGTTTGCAATATTGATTTGTACAACTTCTGTTGCTTGGTAGTTGGGAGAGTCAGTCTTGCATGCATTGGTTTTATGTGCATTTGTTAGAAATCTACCATTGATTATCAATTTGATAGTTGAGAATGGAAATGGTAGAATATAAAAGAAAAACACAAAGAGCAAAACAGACCCATAGGAAACAGAGCATAACAAGAAACACATGACAAAGACTAAAGGCTAAGGACTAAGCACATGCAACTAAAGACTAACACAGCACAACCCCTAAACACCTAAACAAGACCAGAAACACCATTGTTGACTTTCCAACTTCTTGAATATGCACTAGATATTCTAGTGTTTACAACTTATTTCTATTGTTAATTCTACTATTTTCTTACACAAATATTCTACTATTTCCAAATTCCAAAACAGCAACACCATTCATTCATCAAAGCTAATAACATTTGTTAGGAGTGGCACATGACAAAGACTAAAGGCTAAGGACTAAGCACATGCAACTAAAGACTAACACAGCACAACCCCTAAACACCTAAACAAGACCAGAAACACCATTGTTGACTTTCCAACTTCTTGAATATGCACTAGATATTCTAGTGTTTACAACTTATTTCTATTGTTAATTCTACTATTTTCTTACATAAATATTCTACTATTTCCAAATTCCAAAAAAGCAACACCATTCATTCATCAAAGCTAATAACATTTGTTAGGAGTGGCCGAATTATTTCCATTTTATTTATTTTATATTTGTAGTTATGTTGTTCACTTCTACTGTTTACCTTAAATAGTGGAATGATGAAAAATTTACAGTTCAAAACACGGGTAAGAAATAGTTTAGTTACCCAAACATTATTTCTATTTCTATAGAACAAAAATCCATTCTCAATGAACAAATTGCCAAACGCCTCTGTTGTTCCTGAAGAGTAAGAAATAAAATTCTTGTTCCAGAACAAGAATTTCCTCGAGAACAGGAACAGGTGAGAACATTGCCAAACAGGGCCTAAGTTTTTAGAACGAGAAATATATACAAACTGAATAGAAACAAATACCATAGAAATAGACTTAATTTGATCAAGCCAACTATAAGAAGACCAAAATAAATACTAGAATCCAGCCCATTAAGGGCTCTAATAGCTGAAAGAGAATCCGATTGAAAACGATAAACTCACCTTATTTGGATAAACCAATCGGAAATTCAAAATGGTCACTCTTAAAATCTTGACTTCAGACTTGAAACCAGCTCTGAATATAACTAGGCTGTCACCAACAAAAGACTAAGAAACTTGTTAAATAAAGGTCTGAAGCATCATAATTCTATTTTGTAGTCTCCGATACCATCTTGACCAAATAATATTAAATAAATTAGGGTTCCAAGATGAGATGCAAGTAATTGTATTAAAAGAATAAATAAATAAACAGAACTAAGGGTGTCTAGAATGATCAACCCCCATCCTTCAAGAGAATTTATTTTATCAAGAGAGGCTTTGTATGTACAGTTACAAGAATGGCTCTCTTGGGCAAAATGGACAAAACAAAGAAACCGATAACTGCAGCCACTAGCGTTGCATCAGTTTGGTTATAAGCATACAGCATTAAGCTCAGGTTTAACTCACAGCCACTAGCATTGCTTCTTGATGGTCTTACCCATGTAATGGCAACTCCTACAGTAGGATTATGTCTATCCTAGGGCCTAGGGGTGATCACTTCTAGCCTGGTATAGAATCCCAGCCTAGTAATTTCCAGGTTTTGGCCTAGGTTTGCCGTCCAGGCTTGGCTTGGGCCCCAGGCCTGGGTCCAATACTTTAGGCCTGGTCTGGAATATACATATGTATGTATTGTTATTATTTTATATGTATACAAATAGTAAATATGATACTTATATATCAGCCTAGGGTGCAGGTCAGGACTGTGCCCCTTATCATAGGTGCTAAGCTCGGCCTAGCCTGGCCTGACCCATGATCACCCCTAGTCTATCCCCATTAAATTGTATTTATTTATTTCATTGTAACGATATTTCCTTTTCTGTTGTCCAATGTACAGATGGAAAGGAGGAAGAAGTATCAAATTGGAAGGTTCAGATCATGTTCCTGTTTTTGTCAATTTAATGGAAATTCCAAATCTTTCACAGCATGATACTCCATCTTTATCTGCTAGATATGTGCCTGGAGTCCATGGGTTCCAACAGACTATTGGTATGCAAAATTTCCCCATCCTTTGTGACAAATGCATTGTGTTTGTTGTTCTTGTTTGTTCCTACTTCTTAAAAAAGACATGGCACCTATACCTGAGAATAGGGGTGATGATGAGCCAGGCTCAGGCTGGGCATAGCACCTATGGTAAGGGCTATAGCCTGCCTGGGCCTAGGCCTGGTCCAGGCTTCTGGGCCTATGGTATATATAATTTAATATAAAGTATTATAATATTTTATATTATATAAAATATTCTATATAACTTGTATTATGTGCCATATTATAATATTTATATATAGTACAAAATAACACATATATGTATGTATATATATATATATATATATATTGCAGGATGGGCTGGGCTGGGCCACGCCAGGATTTTGTGCTGGGCTACAAATAATCACCCCTACCTGGGATGGTTTCTATGTTTTTAAAGCATTTACAGGACGTTTTTCTTCTAAAATATTTCCTGTAACTTGTTGGGCTATATGCAAGAACATAGGTTAGGACTCTTAGGACATGCTAACATTTCAGAACCAAGGCTGTTATTTGGTATACATGTGGACTTTACCCTTGTACTGGTTTAGGTTATGGCGTTTTAACTTTTCTATTTGCCAAGAAGAATCTTGTGTTTTACAAATGCAAATGAGGGACTGACTTGGGATTGGAGGAATCATGGAATTAGAAAGTTTGACAAACTGCTTTATTCTTTTATAGAGACAAATGCAGAAATTTGTTTCATGAATAGATAAAAATTAATATGGTTAGCTTTTGAATGCTTTGGGTTCTTTTTGAATACTTGTATCTACTAAGAATATAGAAACAAATAAACTCCAAAGATGGGTTAACATCAATATGACAATAACATAATTGAAGAAGAGAACTGGAACAGAAAAAACAATATGGGGATTAGTAGGTCTTTATTATCCCTAGTAGGTCTTTATTATCTCAGATTTTTTCAGGGACAGCCTTATATTTTTGATGCCCATATGATTACTAGGGACTGTCAAGTTTACAGGTGGAGGATTGCTGTCTTCTCCTTGATTTAGGGTCTTGAGGACTGCTACTTTGGTTGCTATGATTCCTTTAAGAGATATCCCTGCTTGTGTTGTTCATCTGGTTGGAATCCTTCCCTGTTTATGGTATTTCCCTTGCCAGTGACATAGTTTTTGGTTTTGCCCTCTTTGTGTTAAATTACTTAACAATCATCATCATCAACCTTATCCTAGCTACAATTACACATGGTATTCTTTCTTTCCTATCTATCTAGGGCTGCATATTCACTTAAAAAACGAGAATCAAGTGTTTTGCAGTGAATTGAGCAAGGTTCTTTTTAACATGTAGCTAACATATAATTGGTACTCAAGTTCTATTGCTTTCTCTTGTTGAGTATTTATTTATCGTTGTAATTGTAAATATGTTTCTGTATCCTTTGTAAATTAAATGAGTTGAAAGGGAGAGAAGGAAAGCAAAATTCATGCTTTAAATTTTGAGCCATTTTCATATTTCTGCACATTGTGAATTTATGAGCAAGAGTTCTTAGTACTTCTCAACCACTTTTCCTCGTGCAGTAATTATCGTATTTTCATTTTTTGATGTGTGTCTTTTATTTACGTCTACAAGTTTTCTAAATAATTATCCTGATACAGAGTCATTGCTTATGAAAAGACATGTAGCTGCACGGGATAAAAATGATGGTGTCTCAGAAGTAGTTTCAGATGCAAACATTAAAGTGGAGAGTTGCAGTGAGAATGCAAAAAGCTCATTTTCAGATGAAAAGGTTCCTGCCTCAAATGAAGAGTCTCAAGGTTTTGGTTTGAGAAAAAATGAACATTTCAGTGATGTTTCTAGTATGGCTTCAGAGAACACTATGACAATGTCGAGAAGTAAATCTACAAAATCAATATCTTTTGAGTGCATGGCAACCAGAAAAAAAGCAAGACATAGTAATTGTTCTCAACTCACATTGAGCTCATTCTTCAAGAAAAAGCTTAACCATGATGTCTTTGATACCGATGGTTCTGATTTTTCACTTGTTCAAGTAGACAAGTCAGATGTAAAGGCCGGTTCTCCTCATGTAACCGGAGAAATGATTCTCCCCAGTGAAACGCCATTAGGTGATGATAAAAGCAGTATCTGCAAGAAGAATGAGTTGAACACGACCCCACCTGCTCCTTATCATGCAAATATAAATGATTGTGGTTCTTCTGGGAAGGAGAAAAACAATGTTGCATTGTTGGAGTGGCAAAGGATCCAAGAGCACATGCAGAATAGTATTCCTCTATGCAAGGGCCATAGTGAGCCTTGTGTTACACGGGTAGTGAAGAAAGAAGGTCCAAACTTGGGTCGTAGGTTTTATGTCTGCGCTCGTGCCGAGGTACTAACACATGGGGGTACATTGAGTTGGTATTTTCAGCTTCTAGTTATCACTAATGTGATAGTTTCATTGTTTTGTACTGTTAACTCAACAAGGGATATATGGATATTGATTAATTAAAATAGTTAGACCTGTTGATAGTCCAAAAGTAAATTTTAGTGGTAACATAAAGGTCGTAAAGTCCTAATTTTATTATTCATATTTGTATATGCATTTTAAAGATGCCAAGGATTCAAGTAGTTATGTTGCTGATTATCTTTTTCTTTGGGTTAATTCTTAAGTTGGTATTACTAATTAGTTCTCATGTGGCACTCCTTATCCCCCTCCCCCAAGCCGTCCAAAAAAAGTAGAAAACAAGAAAAAAAAAAGAAAGGGTTGTTAAGTATTAGTTATTTAAATAAATAATAATAGAGATCCTTTATGTCTACAGCACTTGGGGTTGAGAATTGTATCTTCCTTGGGAGCACTTATATGGTTACCTTTTGCTTTCTCTTTTGTCTGTGTAGAAGGTGCAAGTGAATATGCTATAGACTAATCAACGACGAATTGTTGATTTCTTTCAGGGACCTGCATCTAATCCAGAAACAAACTGTGGTTACTTCAAATGGGCTACTTCAAAATATAGGAAGAAATGAAAGTTGCAGATTTTGACTTTCTGAATCAATCCTACGATCGTGAGGATTACAGACCCAGTTAAAGAGATGTGGAAATATGAGCTATAACGTTTCGATATTGTTAGACTGCTAATATTCTATTTTCATACTTGTTTTGTAAGTGTATTGGGCAGTCTATAATTTTCTTTCCTATTTGGGGAAGTTATATGGGTCAATCCGTGCTGTTATAGAGGGTACACAAGCAGGAGTATAATGGTCATTTTGTTTGTAATGCAGAAATATTTACATAACAGAGAGAGGCTCAAGCCTCGTACTTTTTCTCTCTTCAAACCTACTCCCTTTTACTTGCTTCTCTTCTCATTTTATTTTCTTTGTTTTCACATTTACACATTCATAGCAAAGCAAGTAAACAAGTAATAACAATGAGTTTTTTTTTTCTTTTTTTTTTGTGTTTGTAATATTTGTACTGAAAGAATCTATTGAGAAAGCTGGCTTGGATTTTTAACTTGAAAGTTGCAGTGTAGCAAGTCAAACAATTATTAAAGTACAAAAATTTGCCCAACAATTATTTTTCTTATTGGTTGTTCCCTTTTTGTCAGGCTATCTGTCTTTCGTTTCTTTGCTCTGGATCATATTTCAATGGGTTGTCCATATCATCCACACGGTATGCATAGAGGACTTGACCTCTCATTGCAACGCAGCAGCACCAAGGATGTTGTCCGTATCATCCAGATGGTATACATAGGGGACTTAAATCTCTCATGCCAATCACATGCTTTCATCAAGAGCTAAAGCTTGGATGACCGGATGATAAAAATAACAGAAAGATTGACCATGTTATTGGGATAATTTATGAGTATGCTGTATCACCGGTTGAATGCTCTGGATTAAATACTTGGTATATATCATCAACATCGCAAAGTTCTGGATCATACGTGCACTTAGGCAACGAGAATGTTATCTGATGGTCTTGGCTACCGGTGTCAGTGGATGACTTGATATCCTCTTGGGCTTACCTATTTTTTCCACATTCCATTCACATACGTGTAATAGTGCCTGACTGTTATAATACTTTAAAAACCCAATTTTGTCCTTGATTCTTAACCATCTCTAACCACCGAAACCCATACCCATCTTTTTCTTCTCACAGAGAAGGGTTTTGACTTCAACTGCAAGTTTAAAAAATTAATGTGATAAACATCTAATATTAGATACATACATGTCCACAGGCGATGAACCTGCATCTTCTTCTACTGAGTTAATGGCGGAAACAAATCACATGAACCCGCACCTTCTTCTGTTTTAAAAGACGACTCAAATATATTTCATGTGAGAGATAATTGGAAGAATGTCTTAAAAATCCCGCATCGTCCACTGTTTGGAAATGTAAAGAATTAGCAATGACTAACCCCTTAGGCATAACTCTGCCAAGGAAAGTCTTAATCCAATTTTGAAAAGAGAGAGAAGGTTTCGGCATTTACCATAAACAAAAAAGAAGTCATAAATCTTTTGGGTTGAGTGGGTTAACGGTGTATGGAAGTGAAAGTGGCGAGTGGGTGTGCACCAAGAAGTAAGCATTGCAGCACTAAAATAAATCACAGAAAGCAATCTAACCGGAGTGTCCTAAGAGTAGAGAGTACTCCGACATCTCAGAGTAGAGACATCTTTGGACAACCAAACACGTGGACCAACCTCAAAAAAGCTAAGGATTATTATAAAAGTTTATAACCTCGATCCGGTGTCCACCGATCAGCGATCAACATCCCAAACCATGAAACCTATCGTTCTATCCATGTTGTTTTGTAACTTGTAGGACTCAGACAGTCGGACAAGACCTCACACGCGGTTGAACTGGTGACCCTTTAAATAAGGATTTTCATGGTTTGAACGTATAACAGTGCCGTATAAATATGATAGTAATACAACCCAGACAAACTAAATCTTCTTCCCTGCAATGCGCACCAAGAGGAAAGGAGAAGAATCAGAAGAATTCTTCTCCGATCCTAACAATGGGTATCCTGTTCTCCAAACAGGTGCAGCGTAGAATAGCCATATCGCGCGAGAAGAAGATTCTCACCGATCTTCACCTCAACTCGGGTAACGAATTCCCTGGATTCGATTACCGCCCTCCAGATCGGAAGAATTGGATGTCAGGCCTCGATCCGCAGAAACTTCGCATAAACCAGATCGTTTGGCCGGGTACCCATGACTCAGCAACTGACAAAATTGGTGTCCCATTCATCACTCGCCCATTTGGGCAATGCCAGACTCTGTCAATCTACCAACAGCTCGTAAGGGGTACCAGGGTCCTGGACATCCGAGTTCAGGAGGATCGCCAGGTGTGCCATGGCATCCTGATCACGTATGGGATTGAAGTTGTCATCAAAGACATCAAGGAGTTCCTGGCTGAGACCCAATCAGAGATAATCATTCTAGAGATGCGCACAGAATATGGACACCAAGACCCACCTGAATTTGACAAGTACTTGGAAGAACAACTGGGCGAGTTCCTGATCCACCAGGATGACCGTGTGTTTGAGAAGACGGTGGCGGAGTTACTGCCAAAGAGAATTATATGTGTGTGGAAGCCAAAGAAGGCAGATCCACCCAAGGCCGGCGGTCCACTATGGAGTGCCGGCTACTTGAGGGACAATTGGATCGATACCGACTTGCCGTCGACCAAGTTCGAGAGCAACCTCCAGTTTTTGAGCGAGCAGCCACCTGTGTCAAATAGGAAATTCTTTTACAGGGTGGAGAATACGGTGACGCCACAGGCCGATAACCCTATAGTGTGTGTGTGGCCGGTGACTAGAAGGATCCATGTACATGGAAGGCTTTTTCTATCGCAGTGCATCTCTCGGGGTTGTGCGGATCGATTGCAGATCTTCTCCACGGATTTCATCGACGAGGATTTTGTGGATGCATGCGTCGGGTTTACACATGCTAGAATACAAGGCAAGGCCCCCTGAGAAAATCCAAGCATTTTGATTATTATTCATGTGTGGGTTGTCAATCCGAATTCCGAAATTATACTTCCATATATCCATATGCATGTTAATTAATTTCCTTTTCGTTACATCTTAATTCACTTCCTTTTTCAATTCTGATTCTATTTCCTCCCTTCGGACTACTCTTGAAAAATCCTCCCATGCATTTAATTACTGGATATACCCTTCATTTTATATTAAGTCATGCTTCTCCAATTATGAGAGATGTTAAAAGTCTTGCTCAGAGAAAATAAAAAAACGGGGAGGGAAATTGTTAGCATTTCTCTTAAATTAACTCCTCATCACTTTTACTTTCCAAAGATCGCCCACCCAGCCCCATGATGTTGGGCATGAGTTTTTATTTATTTTACAAAACTCACGACTTCAAATCAGAGGGGCGCCCCACAATGTCCTACACTACATCTCCGCCGTGAATTGAGAGCATCTCTCGGTGATACTTTATAATTTCTGATACTTATCATTCCCCAATACACGGCAGAGATGTGCTGTGCGACGTTCTGGGGCGTCCTCTTGTAGGGCCTGATTTGATCTCAAAACTCACCAAGTCACAATCTATCTGTTAGAGTATTTTTAGTGTACATTGACCTAAATTGTCAATGTTAACATAAATGCTATTTTCATGACCAAATGCCCTTAAATGACAAATCAGCCTTATTAAATATATTGTTTTGATTAAAATGCCCTTAAGCATCCAAGTGCCTTATATATATATAAGATTTATACTCTTTGAGAGACGTTTTGCTCTCATTGTGCTGCTCAAAAGTATTATAATGAAGCTGAAAAATGGGTTTTGAGTGGAATAATAATAGGGATACTTCTGAAATATTGAAAAATGGCTGAATATAACAAAGGGAAAATGGTAGTCTATTAACACTCATTGGTCTGTTTAATGTCAAGTTATTGGCATGGGGTTTCCAGGACGTTTTGAAAAGTTATGGTGAGTTTAAGAAAATTACTGAAAAGTTATGGTAAGTTTTAGACAATTTTCCTTAATAAAAAAGCTTGAAATAGTTTTTTTCTTTCATTAAAAATGTGCATTTTGCTTTTTATGTTTGCAATTAGCTATTTAGAATAAGAAAAACAAGTTAGTGATCAGCCAAAGGCTAAAAAAGCACTTTTCTAAAAGCCTACTTCAAAAAGTGACGTTTTCAAGAGCTCATTTAATTAGGACAAAAAACACTCCCGATCAACACCTTATATGATTAGTTGATTTTTATATATCTACTATATAATTGACCATATATAAGTTTATGTTAAATCGGAACATATTATTTTAATAGCATCATATAATATCAATGTTTGGGCAAATTTCTTAAACTATCCTTACTATTTAGCTAATTGACTAACAGACCCTTACTGTTTAATTATTGTCTTAGAGTGTCGTTAAGTTTTTTGACAATTGACTAAAACCTCCCCTATTGTTAACCTATCTCACTCAGTCATATATGACATCACGTGACCAATATTTTTTATTTTAAATTTAAAAAATACCCTTTTAAATCTCTCTCTCTCTCCTCACCTCTTTCCTGACACAGTGGACTGCCAACCAAGGCATTGCCACCCCTCCTGGAATTAGAAAGAATGGCCTTCACAGTCCTAGAAGCAGTTCTGAAGATATGAGAGTTCAGATCACAAACATATGAGAGTCCAGATCTTTGACTCATGCCGCTCCTCTGGCATCATTTGAAGCTCGTCGGAATTTGGTGATCAAGACCTAGATCTTAATCCATACCTCCTTTCCGATCTGCACACAGCAACCCAGAACCTCCGGAATTGTACATCGTCGTGACCACCCCTTTTCGATCTTAGACTCATTTGTGTGCTTGGACATGCTCTGTTCCATGGCAGTGGAGCTCTGTCTCTTTGTTTGTTGAAACAGACAATAGGAAATGCTCAGACATGCTTTGTTCTATGGCGGTGAGCTCTGTGCAATTTCGTGGAGCTGTAGTGGTTCAATTGGAATGTCGGAGGCTTGAGAGGGAAGGTTGTAACTGCTTGAAGGGTTTGTGAATGAAGATCTCGCAGTCCTAGGGGTGTCGAGGGGTCGTTGAGGGGTCCGAGAGGTTTGCGAGCTTCTAGTCAGTTCCAGACTTCCAGGAGAGAGAGAGAGAGCCAAGTTCGCGAGCTTCTTGGTTTTGATTTGCTCCGGTGCTTTATACCCTCCCAATCTTGGCATAGTGGCGGAGCAGCATCACTCCCTTCTCCTCTCCGACATCTTTTTCTCTCTCTTTCTCTCACTCCCCTTTATCTTCTTTTCTTTCTTCTTCTTCTTCTTCTTCCACCTTTGACCCGCCCTATTCTCCGTTCATCCCACTCGACGCAGCAGCGGACCAATATCAAAGAGCTATATTGAAATCGAGAATGCTTATCTGAGGAAGATGAAGAACTGGAGGAGCTAATTAAGGGCAAAACAGACGTTTCATACAATAGTCAAACATATTTAGGGATAGTGTTGATACCATTGTTGGGAAATAGGGAGAGTGTTAGACAATAATCAAACAGTAGTCAAAACGGTTGGACAATAATTAAACAGTAGAGTTATACTTAATCAATTAGTTAAACCATAAACGTAGTTTAAGAAATATATCCATATTTTTGATCTATAAATATATGTATTTAATGATTCAGGGCCTTAAAAATTTACAATTAAAAAAACTTTTAAAATTTAAACATATGTATTCTCAACTTTTTACCCCTTTTATTTTTTAATGGCACACATACCTATATAGAAGAATATTTAGGTTGTGTTTGTACCATTATTGTTTCTACCTGAAACGTTTATATATGTTGATCAATATAAATTGACATATAGTTAGGGTACTTGGATAATGATGATTACAAATTGGCATACAACCACAGGCGGAGATGTCTATAGTTGAATTAAGCATATATATAGAAAGAGAGATTTGAATCGAAATAAAGTTGAATAATTCCGTCCTTCATCTTTATGTTTCTTGGTTCGGAATTCACAACTTTATTTTTAATGTTTTGCAACAAGAGAGGGATTTAAGTTACAATAATGGGGGAGATTTTCTTAGCTTTTACCTTAATTTGTTGGATTACAGTACAAATAAAGTAAAGCAAGACTCTTCAAAGTAACATCCAATAAAAAAACTAAATCAAAATTTACATTCTTTTCATTTGCACTCTCATATATTTGTATTAATACAAATAAAATTGCACTGCAAACGACGCAAGTATCACCTTCAACTACTGGACCGAGGTTTAACAGGGAGTTTTGAGTCCATTCCCATGTATGATTGATATCAAAACAAACTCAGCTTATAATGCTGTTGTATCACTGATAAAACCTCTCATTGTCTATGGGAATTCAACTTTTCTTATTTATGCACTCTCTAATAAGCTTAAGAGTCTCCCTCCATTATTTTTCTTTGTAGACCAAGCTCTTTTGCTTACTTGGATAACATCTCTAGCTCTACATCCTTCTACTATGATTTTTCATTCTCCCTAGAAACATACTTGTACTCTTGAGATGGCACCTTGGATAGCTATTCGCAATTGATGCAAGTTTAGGGGTGAGCAATCGGTTTATTTGATTAAAAATCGAACTGAATAACTCAAATTTTTAAAACCAAACTTTGAAATGGAAGATCAAACTGAAACTGAAATAATGAAAAACCAAAGTCTTCAGTTCAGTTTTCAGTTATTTCAGTTAAAACTGAATTTCTTTAATCCATTAATATATATTATAAATATAAAGTTTAACTAATTTGATTTTTTAGTTAACCAAATTTCATAACTTGAAAACCAAAATAACCGAACTGAAAAAATTGAAACCAAAGTTTTAAATTTGGTTTTTCAGTTTTAACGGAATAATGCTCACCCCTATTCGAGTTGCTGCATTCCCGCTGGGTATGATAGAAGCATCAAAATTAATCATAAATATTAGCGGGGTAATTTGATTGACTCCATTTAATCCTTTGGGGTTGTTAATTATGTCCTAATCCATTGCATTTAGACTGCACCTCAGAGTAGTTATTAGTTGCAAGTAACAATGTAACAGATCGTGAGGCTTTTTCAAAATGGGGAATTCTCTTCTTTGCTCCTTGTAAGCATAGATCCCAATTTTTTTAATGCATGCAGGAAATTGTTACATCATCATCCAAACCTAAAAGTATACGCTGGAAATTTTGTTTTTCTTCTTTTGCTGACATATAAACATGGTGGAGTTGTTTAGTAATTTGAATGTTGTGACGTCTGAAAAGTTTGCATTTTTCAAATTTATCCCTAAAAGTGTTATTTACATAATAACAAATAAGAATTATTAAAATATTATGCTATTATAACAAATATGAAAAAATAATAAAAAAGTTTAATGTTATAAAAAATAATATTATTAATATAAATAGTATAAAATAAATAATAAGTGAACAAATATTATAATATTTTATTAATTATACTGACACCGAAAATGGCCATGGACAAACCAATGGCCGAAAGCCCTTATATAAGATGACAATAGTACCAACATAGTTTTCAAGACGCCAAGGCGAGGCTAGGCAATAGGGGGGCGCCTTATCACCTAGTTGCCTAGGTGGTACCTAGGAGATGGATTTTGTTTTTTTTTTTTGTTTTAACTGAAAAACATATATCCTAGGGTAGGTCCCTAGGTTCCATGATCATATTTCCTTAATAATTATCTATAATTTTCACAAAAAAAGTATAAGCTTCATGTTAAAGTATAGAAAATCAACATATTCATAAAAAAAAGGAAAAAGAAAAGAAAATTTTAAAAATATGGGGGCTGAACCCCTATTTTGTTGTAACAAAAGAAGAAGAAGAAGAAGAAGAAGGAGATGTGGAAGAAGATAATATATTGATTAGACACAATTTTAAGTTCTTCCTTATTCGTTCAGGTTTTGAAGTATTTCAATGTTAAATAAAGTATTTATCAATATTTATATTGATTAAATACTAACAAATAAAAAAATAATAAAAATAAGTTAATATATAAACACACAAAATAAATATTTTACTTTAATAATATCTATTTAATAATTATAATTTCAAAAAATTAAGAACATAAAAATATTTTATAACACAATATACAAAACTATTTGACGATTACGCAAGACAAGCCTCCAAGCTGGGCACCTGCTTAGGCGAAGCCTTAACAATTATACTAGAGGCACCGGTGGCTTTTGATACACATCGAAGATAGCGGTAAGTCTGCAATATTAGTTGCCTGTCAAGCTGTTGTGCCTTCACGTTCAAAACCACAGCAAATGACAATCAATTGAAATCCATCTATTGAATGTTGGACCTTCTTATTAGGTAGGAACTCTATTGAGCATTTGATCAAGCATTTTAAAAATGAAGAGGATCGATTCAGAGGTTTAGCTGAATGACCTGAACGCCACCTAAAACTCGGTACATTGACAATCCTAATGGTATAACTAGAGGTGTAAATCGGGCTCTATCCCTCGTGGCCTCATACGAATTTGGATCAGTTTGGTACGGTTTGGCATAACAGTTTGCGGGCCGTGTTGGGCCTAGGGTTTTAGGTCCATGGGCTGGCATGGCACGATACAATTGAACGGGCCATGCCGTTTGTGGCCCATGGGCCGGCATGACCCATATATATTATTTATATATATATATTAAATATATTTATATAATATTATATAAATTATAATTATATAATAATATATAGCATATAATATATTAATAAAATAAATATTTTTTTTTTAATTTTATTATACTAGTTTATTTAATTATTGCATATATAAGCAATTTTATACACAAAATTCATATAAAATTAAAATTTTATGTTTTTTATCAATTTTTTTAATAAATAACTTTGGCTCGATGCACAGTCCGACTTGGCCCAAGTCTCGGCCCACAGGCCAGCCCGATTCGCGGCACAGCACGAGCCTACATGGGCCTGGACTGTGGGCCGTGCCGGGCCACCCCCCAAATTTTTCACCATAGAGGGCGGCATGGCATGGCCCACTTTACACCTCTAGTTATAACATATTAGACCTGTAGTGGTCGAGTTCCGGTATTGATACTCCCTTTTTCCTACATTTCCCTTCCTTTCCCTACTTTTTCCTTCAAACCAAGCACAGCCTAATAGTAAATGTACATATGCTTTGTACGTGGTAGGGGCTAATTGAACCGAACCTGTCCTTTGTTTTTTGTAAAATTTAAAACAATAATCAAACCAAAATCAATCGGTTAACTATTTTTAATCGGTTTGATTTTTCAGTTTTTTATATCCAGTTGCCAGTTTAAAAAATGCTCATGGTTATTGATTCACGAAGAATGAAAAGAGAAAAAGAAAGGCAACACCCAACATGGCGGATTCCTAGAAAAGAGGAAAAGGGAAAGCAAAAAAAATAAAACTCACATGTTAACTCTATGCGAGTGGAACTGACGACACTGGTAAATCAACACCGATGACAATGGGGATATTGTTTGTTATTGATGGCCAAGAACAAGTGAATAAGAAAATAGAAAAAAATGTGGGGTAGTTTGGAGGATCAAGTAATTTAAGCATTTCACTGCCTACCCTTGTATCTTGTCACTGCCTACCCTTCTCTTTTCTATCTTTTCTCGATAATCCGAACAACGAAAGCGGTTGGTCGGTAGTTGTAAGGACGAAGATCAGAGAAAACAAGTACAGAAGCTTTCGGAGCCCATATCCAAGAAATTTGGTTCTTCAATTGCACTGGATGCTGAGAAGAGGGAAGAGATTGAGAGAGTGTTCAGACGATTCGACGTGAATGATGACAGTAAGATATCCTCCAAGGAGCTTGGCGACGTCCTACGAGCCCTCGGCACCGAGGTGCCAGCGGATGAAGTTAAACGCATGATGGAGGAGATGGACACCGATGGAAATGGATTCATCGACCTGAAAGAATCCAACTTCCTGAGCACTTTTAGGCTGTAGCCCAAGGTGGTTAACAATCCAGGTTCTCTTTCGACCACGTCAATTAATAAGCGCCAATTCCTCAAGTCCGGCGATCATGGCCGTTCCAAGAGTCTTGAGTCCTTCACCTGTGACAAGGCAGCAACTTTGGAGCCGAAGGCTGACACCACGAAAGTTCTTCGCAACAGCAGAGAGGTGGTCGTTATCGAGGTCGAGAGGCAAACGCAGGTCAAGCTTCTGCAGGGTGGAGCTGCATCGCCTTATAAACTGGTGGAGATCGTCCCTGCCACCTCCATCGTATATAAGGAAAGAATTGAGAGAGTTGTCGTGTTCAGCTAATCGTAACAAGACCCCATCCGCAATCGTCCTACATGTCCTGAGTTCCAACTCTTGGAGACCTTGCAAGCACCTAACGAAGAAAGAAAAAGAGGCGCCGTCGCCCGTACCTTCACAGCTCCGTAATTGCAGCCTCCGGAGCTTTGTGCATCTCCTCCATGGCCAACCTATCCGGCGATCGCCTGCACCGATTCCTGTCAAGCAGAGACTTTCCAAAGGCAATTCAGACGCTGGCAGAGAGGTATGGGTTCCATCGTCATTGTCGTCGGAATCGAATTCCAGAGTAGGAAAGTGAATGGAATTGCTGGTATGGGATTCAACGACGAAGAGCTCCTTGAGAGAAGGAAAGGAGGTGAGCCAACGGAATGAGAAAGGGCGAAAAGAGGAGATACTAAGAGAGACGAGGTGTTTACAGGAGGAAGATAGAGAAACGAGAGCAGAGGGTGAGACGGGTCCGGCTAAGAACCGAAGACGACAGAGATTAGAACAATTGGGGAAAAGAAGAGAAGTAATGAGCTGAGCGAGTTGAAGGACGCCTTCGACTTGTATGACAAGGATAAGAACGGGTTGATCTCGGCGGTGGAGTTGCAAATGGTGTTGAATGGGTTGGGAGAGCCGTATACAGTTGATGATTGCAGGCGGATGATCAGCTCCATCGATGCCCGACGGTGATGGAAACGTTAGCTTTGACGAGTTCAAGGCGATGATGAACAATGGAAGATGGAGTTTTACATGGATTTTATCGGTGGCAACTTTTCACCGATTTTCGATGTAACATTTCATCCAAACGTTTAGTAAAATTGAACGGGAGTGTAGAATTTACCCCGCTTCACATTTAGACCTTAAACAAATACAGCCTTAATTTCAAACTAAACACAGCCTTAAGCAGGCATGAGTAATAACATTCCAAGGACAGTCAATACTCATTACCATTTAAAACATAAAAATATTACTTCCTAAACTTGGGCCAGAAATGACTTGGATAAATGTTTTGAAATTTAAATATTTATAATTATAATATAAAAATAATAAAACAATATACGTATTTGTATATATCAGTCGCTTCAGTTAAGAATTGGTTTTTCACATTAGATAACCAAAATCAAACGGATACCTTCTGTTTTTCAAAAACACTAAACCAAAATCAAACTGACTTATTTATTTAACTATATCTTTGGTTTGGTTCAGTTTTTCTATTTTTTATGAGAACCCCTATATGGCCATTTTAGATGTGATACTGTTTCCAACATTTTTCTACAATATTTTTTATATTTCTACTAGTCAGGCCCCATGAGATGTACATGCATTGTTAAGTAAAATTGAAGTAGGATTAGAGATGTTAGTAGATTGAGTTAAGTGGCAAGCCCACATTAATCCATCAGGGCAGCCATAGTCAGGTTGGGGTGAACACGTATTCAACTTGATCCTTTGACATTGTAGATGATGAAGGGTAATTTGGTCCTCTGAATAACATTACGATACGTGGCATCCAGGTGATACCTTGGCACTAAATAAGCAAATCACCCTGGTAGGGCGGTTAGTAGCACTTCACCTAAGGCCAACCTAAAGTACCTCAGCCTGTCCGACCTAAAGGGCTTTCGTATAAGGAATGACCTCTTTTGAGGACCCGCCAAGCTAAGTAGGGTACAAATGGCAACCTACAAGGCATGTTCTTCAACCTATTACATGGACTCTGATGCGGCACGATCTGGGCACTCCTAGCTGACTGCTGACTGGCTCCTTGTTGGCAACGAACGACACCTGAGAAAATGAAGAAGAAGGATTCTCAGGGATTTCCTCAGCGGGAAAACTCCGAAGCTTAAGTTAAAACGCTGGGGAGGAAGAAGAGAGAATACAAAAGGCTAAGAGTGTGGATCGCGTTGGATCACTACGTCTCGAGATTAGCTCGTGAGCAACTAAGAGTGCAAGTTCAGATCTAATTCCGAGAGAGAGCGTGTCTCTCCGCTTTAAGGGCTTTTATAGAGGCGCTATTGTCAAATTTGGCGTAACCGCCACTGGGCTCCTGTCGTAGCCGTTACCTGCCAGGGCTGCAAAAGTGATCGTTACAACGTACTTCCTGCGTAGTTAAGTGACACGTCTTCGAAGGGACAGAAACGCTACCATCTGTCGAGAGACGTGGGGCAGACTGTCAATCGGGCAGAGACTGCTTCGTCAGTCGAGAGACGTGGCACAGTCTGACGAGTACGGCCTTGTCAGATGGAAGCTTCTTGAGAGCGTCGCATCACAGTTGCAAGTTACTTTGCAGCGGGCCATCCTTGCTGCGAGCTACCTTGTAGCAAGCCCTTAGGGGTACTTCGAGGTGACCCTCATCAAGGTTGGTCTTTGGGGCAGTTCTTCCACCCAGGTGCTGAGTGAGCTGGTTTTCCTAGCTCGCGAACTGAAATAATCTTGGAGTATTCCCTTCTCAGTAGCTCGGGGGATCTGGAGCTCGCGTTGTAGCAAGCTCCCCCTATAGAGAGTTGTGACGTAGCGAGCTGTTCCACAAACTGGTTACTTGGTCGCGGTTAGGCCAAGCTGCTGAGTTGTTGCTCGTGCTGAGTCAGGTCCACGTGTCATCATCTCAACAGGTCAGGTCAAATCATCCTTCATCAATTGCCCCCCACTCCTCAAGCTAAGAGTGCTTCCTTAGCGCGAGGAGTTCATGGAGTGTGACGGATTGATTTGACCAAAATTCAAACTTGATTGACTGCTCATATTAAATGCCTACGAGGGAATTAGGAGATTTTCTGACTTTTCGAATACCGAAAATGTGCTGAAGCGGCTCTTAACTCCGGATGTCATGTAGCTGTCACTACCCCAATCATGCGAGAGGTCCCGAGTTCGATTCTCGGAATGCTCCGTTTCGTCTTCTCCGGTGAGTCCCAATCACTGCCAACCATGTCTAGGTACCCAAACCACACCTACCACCGGGGCAATAACCAGGATGGCTATGCTCCCACGAGCTCGGGGGGAGTTTGGGAGCAGGTCCCGGAGGCTCGGGAGACCTCCGGTGATGTAGCATCTACTTCCCGGGGAAGGGAGCCTGACACTTTCGGCCCTTACTCCATGGCAGCGGAGAGACTCAAGTCTCTAATCCGCTATTTTCACCTCCCTGGGGACCTGGTTTACAGCCTCCCCACTGGCAACTTCCCTTGGGAGCATGGTCCCAATGACATAATTATCTTCTAGGAATAGCTCGAGGCTGGCTTGCGTCTCCCTTTGCACCCCTTAATAGTGGAGGTGCTAAACCATTTTAACGTCACCATCGATCAGCTCCATCCCAACGCTATTCGGAACATGGTTGGGACTATATTTTTGTGTTATGAGTACTGTCTTTTTTTGAACCTTGACATCTTTGCCTCTATTTTTTGTATAAAAAATGTCACTCCTGGGGTTCCACCGGAGAGGCACTTTTACTACCTCTCTCCCCGCCACGGTTATAAGCTCTTGCATGAGCTACCGAATAAGATTCCCGCCTGGAAGCGGGATTATTTCGTGGTCCGTAACCCCGAAGGGTGGCCCTTCCCCACTTCTTGGAGGGGCGCCATCCAGGACCCTGGGGCCGAGTTGGACCCCGAAACTCAGAAAATGATGTTGTCCTGGGCATCGGTAGGCTTCCTCTGTTCGGACTACTTGACCGAGGAGAAGCTCGTGCAGGCCGGCCTAAGTCCTGGTAGGTTGTCTTTTTAGGTCGCGTAGTGTCTTGTAGTAATATTGCATGTATACATGTACTCTATTCTTTACCGAACTGATATCTTGTGGTTTCTTTTTTTGGCAGCCATCATGTCTGGAGTTTATTTGCGCCACCTCCTCTCGAGCAACCAGAAGCGCAAAGTGAAGAGGTCGCGCCCTGACTGGACTCCCCCCTCTGGGGGTACCGAGTTCGGGTCTGCTGAGCCAGACTTTACCTCTCCGCCGCCCGAAGTTCCGCCGCCCCCATCCGAAGGAGGTGTTGGCAGGGCCAACCTCGAGGAGGGTGAGCTTCTGCAGCAAGGGGTGGTCCCTCCAGGTCATTCTCAACCGTTTCCCTACCTGCGGTTCCTAGTGGGGAATTAGGAGGGCGTGAATGACTTCGACGTGGCTCGTCGGAGGAGCCGGAGAGCGATCTGCAACGAAGAGATCGCTAAGTGGGGGGTGATGGAACCTGAGGATCTTGTCGCGCTCGCCACCTCTCACTGTATGGTGGTAAGTGGTCCTTCACTTCTCCTTCGTCTTTCGCTTCCTTTTGTTGTCCTTTGATTCCGGTCTCTTGTTGGCAGGTGAACACTGCCCATACATGCCATGGCCCTCCAGACGCACATCCACTCCTACGATGCTCGTAACCAGAAGGTCAATGTTCAAAAGCTCCAGGGCGAGCTCGACCGGACTCGGGGTGAGCTCCTTCACACTCGCAAGGGGAGCGAGTCCCAGGAGCTGCTCTTCCGAGACCAGGAGGCGTAGATTGCCAGGCTTTTTGAAGAGGGCGCGCGCTACAGGGAGGAACCGTCGAGGGTGGCAGTGGAGAGGGAGCTCCTTCGCCAACAGGTCCGAGACTTGGAGTCCACTCTTTTGGATCGAACTCAGAACTTCGACAACATGGTGGAGGCCGAGCGAAAGAAGGCAGTCTGGGACTTCAAGGACTCCCAAGAATATCACGACCTCCAAGTGGAGTATGGCTCGAGCTCGTATCATTCCGGAGGACGAGG